ACCAACTTTTATGCCTAAATCATGGTTTCCCAGTTTCTAGCCCGATGCCTTCACTGCTCACCATACTGAATGGCCTATTGAAACTAGAGATGGATTAGGATATTTTTCTGGATGATAACAGTTGTGTTTATGTTATTTATACTGTGTGTGTCTATATGTATAGATACAGGTGAAACTTGAAAAATTAGAATATCGTGCAAAAGTTCATTTATTTCAGTAATGCATCTTAAAAGGTGAAACTAATATATGAGATAGACTCAATACATGCAAAGCGAGATAGTTCAAGCCTTGATTTGTCATAATTTTGATGATTATGGCTTTGTGGATTATGGATTATGATAGCGTTGTGATGTGTAGGAATAGTTGAAAAATTTTAGTACAGAGCTTATTTATTGCTCTTGTTGGTATTTATAAGGAAACTAGCAAATTTTTGGGTCTATGCCATGGCACAATTCTTGATTTGAAGAGCATAGGGGGCTCAAGTGCTACCTGCCAGAAGCTGCATCATTTCCTGGGATTGTGCAGTTGCCGTCCATAGCTGCAATCTGATCCTCAGAAAAGATGCATTCGTTTAAGAAACAGTAAACAGGTGCAACACACTCGGAAGCATTTTTCTAAGTGTCTAAAATGCTACAGAAATCTTAGGTGGTTCTTGAAAGAGTACATGGTCTGTTATTTGTCCAATGAACTCATTTTTATTTCTCCATATATCCTTACCATCTGAGGGAAATCAAATGATAATTCACAGTAGCTCCCAAATCAAATTTCAGGGTTGATCTTTGACCCCGTCTATTCTTGCTGATGCTTTATTTCCTGGTAGAAAAAGGTATAACTTATTATTTGTGCTTTTGGACTTCACATCCCAATTCTTGCTAATCAGAAAAAACCGTTTTAAAAATGTCAAAGATCATTGACTCGCACTATTTTGACTAATAGTGCAGGGGCCTCTGTACCTCAGCTTTTGCCATCCCCAACTGTTCTATTATGCTTTTTATCTCACTTCAGAGGGTATTTACACTAGTGAAATTTAATACCTTACCCTCAAAGATATTGGAGGGAAGGTTCAGCTACATCCTTTATTCAGTTGGTTCTCATCTATGCTTGGATGAAGCCATCAAGGAAGCCCCACTCATCTTGCATGCTTAGCACTCTGAATTAATAACTTCCAGGTTGGCCAAAATAGTAGGAATGCACTTCTACTAACATATCAGGTTATTGAAATTTCTATAAAAATTCTGCTCAAATGCAACTGCTGTGAAGTTACTGGTCTGAATTACCCATAGGCTCAAATGATCTGGTTATATATTGGGACTAAATGAATACTTTGTTAATGTTTGCCACCATTTCCATTCTCTAATGTGTTGACTTTTTACTTTATCTTTTATATTTGTGTTCTTTTAGTCTTGGACAATAAATTCAGTTCCTTAAAGGAGTTCAATTCCGTATATTCATGACTTCATTCTCCAGAAAGGCTCACAATCAACATTTTCAGTTCATTAACATATTCTATTAGGGTTTTCAATATATTTTAATATTTCTCTTAATAGCATATTTTATCTAGCTATTATCTTAATGAGTTAGGCTGGCTATACTGGAATGCATTCTAAAGGACTGCTTTTATTCTTTTACATATTCTTCCTATTTTATTCAGCTTAGTAGTTTTAGATCTTTGATTCTATTTTTTCTTTGTTCTGTTATCCATTTAACCTTTGATGCCTTTAATTGAATTGTCATGCTGCCTTTGCTCTGCTTTGTAGAGGTTTTATTTTTTTGAATTTGAAAGCTATTATTTAAAAGCAATTAATACCTCTTAGAATCAAATAACCAATATGTAAATCTTCCAAGTGCAAGCATAATTATCCAGAACTGCCAGAATATGGTGCCAAATCAATTAGCCTGGAAACAGATATGTCCAAAAAATTAATCCAGTTTAGGATTCACATTCAGAAGGAATGGATGTAGCATTATTAATCCAAGTCAATTGTATATAAAAAAGTAATTTGTACACTAATGCAAACTACTTGCTACAGTATTTGCCTAGAATATTATAGCACCACCTGCTGGAGATCCTGCACAAAATATGGTGTATCCATACCTAAATAAGGTAAGGAAAGCAAACAGCCTTAATTTTTATTTTTTTACTATTCAGCAGAATTTTGGGAAGAAATTATGTAAAGGCATTCAGGACTGTCTGTCAGCAAAATAGCTCTTTAGCGCAAGAGGATCATATTTGGTATGGGGGAGAAGCTGGCAAAGATGTTTGCAAATGGGCTGAATCAGCCCAGGTGCTACAGAGAAAGATTTGTGGGAAGAAGCAATTGGCCAGGAGCTCCGATTGCTGGCAGCTGTTCCAATTCTGAGCACTCCCCACTTCTTATCACATGACCCCAAAGCAGAGAGTATTCACACAGACACAACAACACAACGCCTCATGCTCACAGATGATACTTAGCTACACAAACCAAAGTGCAATTACCACCAATAGTCAGGGGTTTGGAAAAAATATTCAGCTGTGCTGTTCTATGAACAATTATTAGTTCTTCAATCATTTTAGGGGTGTGGGGCTAGAAAACAAAGCTGTTACTTTTTCCCAGCAGATACTGTACTAATTCAGAAAGGAATGCATGACAAACCAAGAAACGGAACTGGCAGATTTATTTTACAGTTTAAAATGAAGGCATAAATTAATGTAAAGTTGCCAAATTTTTCTAGGAGGGTTATTTTTTTCCTTTTTTACTCCTTTAATTATTCCCACTGTGCACATCCAGACATGATCCTTCAAATTATCGTTTATTCCTCTCTGACTTCCCTCAATTATAATTCACAATTTGTCAAAACCGTAGCATTCCATACCTCAAGCGATTCTTCATAGAACAATTTCTCTTTATTCACTGCCAATTTCTTGAGTGCCTCTGCCTAACGTTTTGTAAGAATAGTTTTACTAGCCTTCCAGAACCACCATAGACTCCTATTTAAATTGATTATGCCACACTGCATAAATTATGCCACACTGCTAGCGTACATAATGGCAGCTATAATCTGAATACTTCAGCATTCAGTAGCTATTATTCACTATACACTAGCTGGGTTAATATCATGGATATGCATGAAATGGAAACGTTCAGGTTTTGTTCAGAATTCAAACCACTGCATTCTGGGTTTGGTTCTCCAAATAGTTTGGCAGCCGAAAAGTTTGGAAACTCCCAGAATTTCCAGCCTTTGGGTATATTGGTTTGAAATGTTGGGGGTCAAAGTCCCAGTACAATGTTTCTTTAGAGCTGCAAATTGAAAAAGATTGGTCTAAGTTACAACCACCCACACTGTTTCTTTAATAGTCATAATAAAATAAATAGAACATAAAGCAGGGATGACTGTCTCAGAGAAGTTTGGATTAATCTAAGAATTTTGGTATTTGTGTGATGCAAGCAAATGGTGATATCTTCTATCTTTTCTGAAACTTCTCCTTGTTTCTTGTGCTCATTCCGAATATTTTTGTCTATTTAATGGCTGCAAAACTATTAGTGATCAAAAGGCACAAAGTTTTAATTAGTAATGATGAAAGTAAAATAACTGCAACAGATTTATAACTAAAATCTGCCAATATGTTTACTATACACACTGTTCTGCAAAAGGAATTGACAAGCCTGCTGAGAATTTTCTAGCGTGCCATGGCAGAATCATAGAGCTAAAGGTTATCCATGCCAAATCTAAAAAGAGGTGACTGGGTGAAAAACAGACACATTTTCAATACAATTCTATAATCAATCAACACCAAATGGGATTTGGTATGAAACACAAATATATTTGCTTCATAAACCAAGTGTAGAGCCTGGATAGCTCTGCAGACAAAAGCACTGTAATTTAACACCAGCTGTCTGCAATTTTATTTTTATTTTTTTTATTTTTATTTTGATTTATATGCCGCCCTTCTCCGGAGACTCAGGGCGGCTTACAAGACGTTAAGCAATAGCCTTCATACTTTTGTATATTTTATACAAAGTCAGCTTATTGCCCCCACAAACCGGGTCCTCATTTTACCTACCTTAGAAAGGATGGAAGGCTGAGTCAACCTTGAGCCTGGTGAGAATTGAACTCGCAGTAATTGCAGGCAGCTGGAAGCTAAATACTACCTTTAACAGTAGCATTAGTCTGCTGCACCACTCAGGCTCAATTAAATTAAATTAAATTAAATTAAATTAAATTAAATTAAATTAAATTAAATTAAATTAAATTAAATTAAATAAATTAAATTAAATTAAATTAAATTAAATTAAATTAAATTAAATTAGTTCGAATCTTGCCAGGCTCAAGGTTGACTCAGCCTTCCATCCTTTCTAAGGTAGGTAAATTGAGGACCCAGTTTGTGGGGGCAATAAGCTGACTTTGTATAAAAATATACAAAAGTATGAAGGCCATTGCTTAACGCACTATAAGCCGCCCTGAGTCTCCAGAGAAGGGCGGCATATAAATCAAATAAAAAAAAGTGTAAAATTTGAAAATAAAAATATTTTGTGAACTTAATATTGTAGTGCCTCCAAACAATTAACTTGTATTTTGTTTAGATGTATTATTTAGTGTAACCTCACCATAAGTTATTGTAATATGGAAAATTCCATGTCTTGAAAAGGAAGCTATTCAAACTTTGTGACCAGCTTCAGCTCTTCAGCTTTATTTTAATTTTTCTGATGAAATTACCCATTTTCAGAAAAAAATCACAATGATATAGCCCCAGAAGTATATATTATCCCGCGGGCCAGATGCATCAAATGCAAGCCACACCCACCCCGGCTCTGCAAAGGCAAAAAATATTCGTGATACGTCACGTGACGCAATCAAGTTTGACACCCGTGCCTTACAGTCTGGCTGTGAATGACCCTGACTTCCTTTACCATTTCAGATGTTATTCTTTCTTCCAATTCAACATAGAAAAATGTAAATAACTTGGTATTTGGTTCTAAATCCAAAAGTTCTTATTGTTTTAAATTAAGTCCATTTAAACATTTCCATTCCTTAATAGACTTTAATATCTCCTGCACAAACTGTACAAAATATTTATTTCCATAAATAAATAAACATACAAATTCCATACAGTTTTTTTTTAATGCTGGGAGGACATAGCACACAGGATATTATTTAATCACTGGCCAAAACTTGATTCAGAAAATTCCCTTTAAATAAAGCTGTGTGGGAAAGATAAAGATGAATACTATTAACTAAGGAGGAATAATTAACACCCAAAGCTGATGTGATGCCAAAATGACAATGACAAAATGTGAAGATGCAATCATGCAAACATTATGGATACATACATACAATGACACAAATGCGTAAGTTGCAGGTTTTGTGTGATTCCATCATCATGCCTGTGTCATTATTTGTCCATTTTGCCACCCCCACAGTCATCGCCCTAACAAAGTTTCAACACAACCAAAAGAAAGTTTGTGAATGATATGCATTAGAAACCAAACAATGATGGGCACATAGCAATAAAGGAAGTGTGTGAATCTATTACCCAGTGGATTCTTTGTTAGCACATCTCGAGTATAAAAATAATGTTTCTAACAATCATACGGATTTAAACCAGGTTACTGATATATATGTCTTTTGGATATGGCTCATGAATTTATTTTTTAATTCTGTATTAACCCTCCACACATTAGCAAGACCAATCTTTATCAGATTTATGTTTCATAATTCCAACTGGACAGCATTGTGCCACATAATGCAATGGAACACATTTAATCATAAGAAAGCCAAGATGGTCACAATTTGTTACAAATCCCACAAGTGTTTGTCCAGCCCAGGAATAGTTCATATTCCTGAATAATTTGTTCAAAATGCAAAAACAAAAATACTGAAGCCTAAACTATAATGTGGTTACTCAGATTTTGTTTTGGTATGTTTTATTAACTTAGCAATGGAAATTGTTAACTCAGAGTTTATGGCTATTGTTTCTATGAACACAGCTACTTTTGGCTTATCCAATAAATTATGGTCAAACCACCAATGAGTTAATGGAATAAATGAACCTAATTTATATTTTTAGGGATTGGTATGAAAAAATGAATTGGATGATTTGTCAAGCTTTTTGTGTTAGCATCTCTGCCAATACCTTTTCAACCACTCAGCTAGTTCATATGTCAATTTACCTCAAGCTAGACCCCTCTAATTGTGTTGTACTTCTATATTATCTCTCCCTCCCAATCTTGACATATCAAGCTAAGCCAAGCATGTGAATATGGACTGAGTGGAAAAGACTGTGAAGAGTGTATAGCAGAAACAAAAACTCAATTGACATACCACTTTCAGAGACCCATATTAAAAAAAGACACCATCATCCCCGACAACAGCACGATTCAACTCTAAAACTGATTATACATAATTTGTACAGGAAACTGCTTACCACTGCAGCATCTAGTGAGTACTATGATATATTTTGCTGATAAAAGACCGTTGTGATCTTTTGCAACATAGTATGAGGAAGAAGAAGAAGGAGGAGAAGAAGGAGAAGAAGATGGAGAAGAAGAAGAAGAAGAAGAAGAAGAAGAAGAAGAAGAAGAAGAAGAAGAAGAAGAAGAAGAAGAAGAAGAAGAAGAAGAAGAAGAGAAGAAGAAGAAGAAGAAGAAGAAGAAGAAGAAGAAGAAGAAGAAGTAGTAAATAAAACATTGGGGAATACCAGATTTCTGACTTTTTAGATCTATGACCCAAGAAGGATCCTAGAAACAATTAATGCCTCTCACTTTTGGCATAGAGGACCTAGGATGACAGTGAAGGCTCTCATACCGTACTATAAAGATTGGTATAACTGATTTGAAGGTGACTACAATTCTCTGGAACTATTTTCCTTGGAAAAAACAGAACCTGAGCTATTTCCACATAGGCCCTTTTCTCTTTCTTTTTTTCTCCTGAATTCAGATGATTTGTTAGATGTTTTTCTAAGGTGACTCTCTTTTCGTTTTTTATTCCAGACCTTTTTTGCAGCAATAAAATGAAATTGTAGTTATCAAATGTCTCTGAATAGTGAACAAGCAAAATGCTACTTATAGTCTTTTAACTAAAATTTCCCAGAGGAAAAGACCTACCAAAATTATTGCTTTCTCTAATGGAAATTTATTACTCCCTTTTATAGTTTCTCTCAATTGGTCCAGTAGCGCTCTTAGGTTATGAAGAATTAAAGAACCCCATGTAAGGAAACTAATAAACTAATGTCATTCCTACCAAGAGAGGAATGTGGGCACCTGAGTGACTTTACAAGGAGAAAAAAGTTTCAGTGAAAATGGGCATAATTTTTAATACCAATCACTAGATTCACTGCTCTGAAAAAAAACACATCTATCTGAGTCTACTCAAATTAGAGGTGGGATACTGACTCTTTCTATCTATAAATGAGTTTTTCATTATTATTTAGACAAGATAGGATGAAATTGCTTAGAATTTTTGCCATTGCAAAACATTTTAAAGATGTCAGGTTAAGAAAGTCTGAAGTATCTTCTTTTAGAAGGCTCTAGCTTGCATGTTCTTGCCGGAAAATAATCCCATTTGCTTCATGGAATCATAAACTGTGTCTGAAGCACACATCTATTGCTAATCTGTGAGTAAACATTATGGAAGGACCATTGTATAATATATGAATACTTATTGTTTGATCACACAGGTGGGACTCATGACTAATACAATATTTGCCATTTAAAGCATGAAACCATGTTAGGATCTAATATCAAATGTGTTTTTTGAACAGCCTTGTTGTACCTGTGACATCAGAAGAAAACATGTTAGGACTGTAGCTCCCATCACATGTAATCTTGCTGGATGGGAATGCCAAATCATAATCCAACACATGTGAAGAACATCAGACTGGGGAAAGTAATCGCAATGTATTCAATTTTGGTTTTTGCTTTTTCCACTTCAATTTACATCTTCCCCTATTCCAGTTCTGACATTTTGCTCTTATTTTTGTTTTAAAACTTTACTCCTTTCACTCAGAAGATTAAATTACATGAGTCTGTAGCAGGAGACTTTGTGGATAAATGTCAACTTTCACAGGATTTAACGAACTGGTTTCTTTAAGCTAAGAATTTGGACTAATTAAAATTGCTTAAGGCATTTAACAATAGCATGATTCATCCATTTGAACAAAAATATTTTTCCTACAGGGGTCTTCAGCTCAAATTCATCTAGCAGTTTCTTAATGGGTTTTTGTGACATACTAGAGTCTGGTTAACACTGTGATATTTGCAAGACTGCAGCACACTAAAGCTAACCCATGGTCATAGGACCACATGATTGTCTCAACAATTATCTCATAGTTCAAAATGCAAAATGGGTCAGATTAGAAACGACTAACTGAAATTTATATCAAATAGATACAATATAAACATCCATCTTTCTTGCACTCTCTCAACCCCAAAAGATCATCTCATCATAGTGGTTATCTACATTCCAAGAAAAGATCATCAATGGAAGCTTCTCTTGAAATACAAATTGCAGCTTTAGTGACACTATTTTTGGGGGAGGGAGAGAATATAGAGGACAGTCCTCTTTCCTATCCCAGATTCTAGAATCCTAAAGCTTCCAACAATCCCTATTTACTTAATACTATTGTCCGATCTAATCTCCAATTGTTCTAATTACAATCTTTTCAATATTAATTGGTGCAACCCATAGAAACAGGATCCTACCTTGGAGAAAGAGAGTTGATCTTGACCTTCTGGTCACATTGTTCTATACATCCTGAATTCTTGTACTCGATATGTGTTAGTCCTGGCCAGGAAAAGCTGTCCTGCCTGCTGCTGACTGAATCAATGCCAGCTAAATGGCTTATTAAAAATAGTTGGGGTGTGGTGTGTGAGTTTGTGCATGTGCACTTAAAAAAGAGCAGTTTGGCTTACAATACTTTTCTAACCCAAGAAATGCCTACGCTCTATCTGGGTGGCAGAAAGAATTGATTACACAGTGGAAAACTCAGTTTGGTGCCTGCCTTGTGGTACATAGGAACATAGTTCCTTTTCTATGCAATCCTTCCCCAGAAATTTAGATGACCACACATCTCCTTAGCCGAAATAGCAGCCTACACCCAAATGTTTTTAATCTAAGCCTTCTTTTTAGGATTGCATACAGTAGAAGGTACTGTAGTTTGTTTGGGCCAGTCAGTTACTTAAAGGCAATTCCCCAGAGAGGCATGTTCTTCAGTCTCCGTTTATGCAAGACTTTCTATTTACACTAACTGCAAGCTCTGTTTTGGGCAGATGTGGGGAAAAGGATCAGCTGACAACTAAGGTTTCATGCAGTGGTAGAGTTGCTGCCAGTGTAACCACAGCATCTTCTCTTAAACAAGCTCCCTTCTATGTAGCTCTGCTCAGATTATTTATACCACCTAGACTTTGACCTGCAACATATCCAGAAAAATGAAGGGAGTGTATTATTCTGACATATTTTCAAAAACATTAACATACCATATCACATTCTTCCATACGATTTCTGGCTCACGACAAATTGTGAGGATTTGTAACTCAATACAAAAGCTGACCAACAACATTTCAATACAGAAAGTAACTAAGAAGCGAGGTTCATTGCATTTCTGAGCTATCTTTGGTCCCTTCTGCACTATGTCATCATCTACCCGCACAACTTAAGGAAGTGATCATAGTAGCACCCCTGTTTGAATGGCTCTTGTGAGCCTGAGCCAAAGGATTGGACACAGATTTTTACTGAAGGCATTGGGTAAAAAGAGGCAGCCCAATACCACACTTTTTGTTAAGACACCCTGAGATCAACCCAGTTATTTTCCTTCAGTCAAATATTTTGTACATCTCATTGAACAGAGAAGCAGAAAGAGGCTATATTTGCACTCCTGACTCTTCTCTAGTATGTCTTTAATATACATTAATTTTCCCTCTACTTTTCTCCTACACTGAATACTTGGCCATATCACTTTTGTCAAAAATAACTTTGGTTGCAAAGTAAATGGCTACCAACCCAAAGCCGGTGGCAGATGCCATATAAGTGGTGACTGACTGTGTGAACTGAACCAGCGAACCCATAAGAAGGGACGGGATAACCTGGGAAAGAAGAAAAGCACTGTCCAAGATGGCCAGATCTGAACAGATGCCTCGGCTTGTCGCTGCAGTGTCTGAATCTCCCACCATCATCATGAGCGAAACTTCACATGGTGAGCTGACACAGAGAGAAGACCCGGCAACAGGGGGAGAGTACAGGCTACCACCGTGTCCATTCTGGTAGGTCAGCTTCTGAGTAGAAAGGTGGTTTTTGAGGAAACCCAGTTTCTTTTCTGATTGAGCTGCATTCTCCTTATTTTTATACTTAGGCAAATATATCTGAAAGCACAAGAAAATAAAAGATAACAAGATGCTGGAACACAATTCAGCAAAGACATAGAAACCACAGAATACGATATGGAATATATGATTAGCTGGAGCAGAGAAAAGTGAGGATGAAAGCTTTTAAATAGAGATCAACAGAAGAAACAAAGCTGTTTTTTAGAAATTAAAAATGTTGTTCAAACTCTTTCACATGAATTGAGGATTCATTAAAAAAGAAAGAGCTCAAAGCAGCTTGGTATTATGTACTATTTAGTTACCGCTTACGTTTATAAGTTTAAGCTTATTTACCATTTAAGTTTATGTAATGTCAACCTGGTCAAAGAGCTTTATCCAAAACAGAACAGTCAGGAATTGATTCCAGAAAGATGATAGTCCTGTAAGGACGGTACGATTCAAGGGCATGCATGAAATGCAACCGACTTACACGGCTTGTGCACTGGAAGCTTCAGACAGAGTTAGTCTTGCTGGCTCTCACAACACTGGAATGGCAGCTGTTATGAAATCACTTCAGAAGAAAGAAGCAAAAAGATAGAGGAAGCAGACATAAAGGACTGACAATAGGCAAAGAAAAAAAGAGGAGGCTTAGGTAGAACTATATCACCCTACAAAGGTCTGCAAAGAAGATACAGTAGTCACTCGATAGTCGTGCAGTTAGATAATGGGGAACAGCTGCTTTGGACATATCCTGATTGGTGTGCAAAACTGGCATTAACATAGTGACAGTTTTAACAATCGAAGTTATGTATTTGTTTAATGGTTTGATCAGGGCAGCCATTCTGCCAGTTCTCTGAATAAGGATCAACTGAACATGCCTCTTTGTTACCTCTATATAATTGTCTTATTGCTTTAAAAACCACTTGTAGATCTCTAGGCCATACAAACCCTGGTCAAAGAAATCCAGGAATCCTACCCAATAAATAAATGCACTGGCTAGCATATCCTGCATGACTACTGTCAAGGCTAGTGGTGGTGAAGCCATTACGACTTGGGAGTTTGTATCAGGTGTCCCAGACTTATTGATTATGGTACTGCTAATTACATATCCAAAAAAAAAATAAAAATCCAGTACTGGAATTTTAACTATGTAACCTCTAGAAATCCAGGAGTTTGTACTATCAGAATTTCCAGTGATAATTTTCTCTTAGATTAGTTGAAATTATTCACTCTTTCCTAGTTGTTTTGGTCTGCAACGTAGGTTTTAAGATTCATGGCTAGGATACCAAGTCTACAAAAATCCATTGCTTATTAAAATGTCTATAAATGGGAAAAACAGGAGATCAAGTCAAGATACTACAGTACTTTATATAGTCAATAGCTTGATATGACAATGGGCAAAAATCAATAAAGCAGCAATCAAGTGTACTGCTGATTGAATCTTTAATGCACTAAGCAAATTTAGTTTTTGGCTGCTTTCAGCTGGATGTCTGGGAATATTAGCAATCAAATTATTATGCAACCATTCTGCCTTTTCCTCAACAGAATGATAGGAGAATCACATCTGGAAGATGACATATGAATTCATCAGAAAAATTACCTAAGAGCCTTCTCTTGAACCATTCTTATGTGCTAATTTCTGCTTTCATACAAGATAGCTATGGGGAAAAGTGTACATGTGCCAAACTTCATATTAAAATTATATCCATTTGTTCCATGCTCTGAATCATTTCAGGATGTTTCTCCTACCTGTTTTTCATGATGATAAAGTGATGCAAGTGTGTATGGAATGATCTGAAGCACTGAGAAAGGGAAGCCAGTCAAGGCAGCAGAAACAGTGACAATGACAACACTTTGAGAGAAGCACATGATGAAGGCTGTCAATGGAAATAAAGCCACACTGGCTAAGTAGACCATTCGTGTCCCAAAGTGTTTCACCATCCGATCCATGATTGTTGAGAAGAAAATGGAGATGATACACTGGAGAAAGAGGCCCAGGCTACCCATCCGAATTCCTGAGAAGAAAGATATATATCATGAAATAAAGAAGATGGACAGGTTAGCTAGAAAAAAAGTCAAATTTTATAAAGCCAACTATTGTTAGTCATCTGGACAACAATGATCTATCTGTTTATGAAGTTAAAAAATGAATAAGAGGAAAGTATTAAATGTTTTAATATTCAATATGTCAGAAGTCAAATCCGTCCAGAGAGTAACATAACCCTCAAATATAGGTCAGCCTTAAACATTTTCAGAACTTTGCCCAGCTGTTAATTTGAACTGCGGCCAAGATGTTAACTTGTACCTGCAAATGACAAACTTTGCTCACATTTCATTTATATTGAAAAAGACGTTTAAATCAGTGCCACATTTCAGTTCCTTGTGAACTTTTCTTCATGCATCTCTAAAAGATAATTATACATGGGTCACAGATCCAAGATGAGGCAATTACTGAACAGTATTGTGTATACTTCATTAATAAATGTTAAATATTAGTTAAACTGAAACTGGGTCACTCAGACCTTGGAACTATGCTATATTGGAACAAAAGGCAAACCAGAGATCAAAAGGCTTTAAGAGGAGACATTCAAAAAAAGCTACCATCTGGGTAGTTTTTCATGTTAAGAAAGAGGTGAGAGAACATGTCAAATACATATTTTATCCTTTTGCAACAAGAGGGGGATCTGCACATTTGATTTCGTGCAGGACAAATATATAAAATAATATTTTACAAATTTAATTAACAAAAAGTACTTTGCTTACAGGCCATCATACATTAATCAATGAATCAGAAAAGTCAAATATTAACTACTTTACCAATGAGGGGATATATTTCCATAAAAGAATAAAGTATAGGTTAATGTTATGTGCATGAATAAAAACTTCTCCTCAAAAACTTCAGGTTCAAGGAGAAAGAAAAATGTATAACAAATGGCAAAGGCAGGTTTATATAAGTCTGCTCTAATTACATCAATTATCAAACATTTTTAATAAAAATGGATTTACTAATTAAATAATTTTAAAAACTTTCAGTTCTGTAATCTGCTTTAAGGGCAGAAGCAAAAGGACTATCGCACACTTCATACCTTCATCATAGTTTCTCCTGGCCTCTGTCCCAGGTTTAGCCCTGGGAATGCCTTGGTACAATCCTTCCCCAACAAAGTCTGTGTAGAACAACATGAATGTCATGAGGGCCATCCAGCTGCAGAATTCCGCCACAAAAAGCTTTTGGATTACCTTGGGAATACGACAGCACACTCCGTGCAGGCGTGGGGCCAAGGCACAAAGATTCCTAAAGGCCTGAACCAGATGCCTGGTCCTCAAAAAGTTCTTTGGAAGCCAGAAGGAACAGCAGGCAAATGATGGGGACTTGGAAGACGACTTTCCTGTAGGGCCTGAGCTGAGCTCTACTTGAGCTGACACCTCCTCTGTCACAAAGACAGTTGCTAAAACACAGCCAAGGAAGATGATGGTGAGGAGGCTGAAGAGGCATTCCTCCTGACCCCCTAAATAAGGAGCAAGGAAGCTACTGTCCCAGTCAATAGCTGGTAGCAAGTAGCCAACACAGCCTCCCAGGCTAACCATGAAAGAGTAAACAGAGAAGGCCCGTCGGCAGCTGTCAGGCTCTTGGAACAGATCAGAGAGAAGAGCTTCTAAGGGGGTAAAGCAGACCTGGCCGCAGAAGTCAAGAAGGCCAACCCCCAGGATAAGGAAAGCCAGCTCCAGTGCACGGGCATCTAAGGCAACAAGTCTGGCCAGACGGTGAGCATGTGGAATGATGAGAAGGCTCAGGAAAACACCTAGGCATAGGACCCAGATGAAAGGCCTTCGTCGACCATAACTACTATGCCAATGGTCACTGGCAGAGCCAAGCAGTGGTACAAACACTAGACCCAGAACTGGTCCAATTCCTGGAAAATAAGAATGGGAGAGGAATTATTATTTGAGGTGAGGGGATTATATAGGGCAGTAGCTAGAAACAAATGCTCACAAAACAAAAATTACAACGTCAGATAATCTATCCCAAGATTTCCAAAACCTAAGAGGAAAATCAGACTTTCTAAGGAGAAATGAACAACTGCTAGGGGCTCTTTGAGCATCCCCCCACCCATTTTCCAAAATGGAGCATGTGTGTGCCCATGTGACTTCAACAGATTAAGACAAGAGTAAACAAGTTAGCAACAGAAGTCGCATTCAAAGGTAAGGAAAGCCATGATACAAAAGTAGGAGAGTCATCCTGTGTGATAGGGAGAATAATCTTGAAACATTTTTTAAAATGCAGAACTTCCCATCCCCTAGCCTAGACCATTTTTTAAAAAAATACAAGGTTTGATTTGCAGCCAAATCCAGTGAGAAACTACGATGGCAATATTTGGTAATGCAAACATAAGGACAATGTAGGGACATATATGGTTTGCAGGCTTTAGGTTGCTCATACCTGGATTAGATTATAGCTAGTATCATATTGTTTAATATAAAATAGCAATAACTTTATATTTTCTTCTTATATCCTAATCCACATGCACGACACTATTATTGCAGCCTGAATATTGTTCATTTGGCAACCTGTAGCCTTAAGGCCTTGATTGGTGGACAGATAAACATGCACATATCCACATACTGAACTCAATGTCTATCAAATCTAGCATGGACAGTCTCCCTGCAAAGAAGAAAAGAAGCCACCTACCCAGAACCATTGTCATAAACTTCTCTTCCACTCCTACTTCCAACAAGAGGGGTGGCACATATGTGACACCTGCAGCAAGACAGACCTCCAGGCCAAAAGTCAAGGAGTTGATCAGCAAAAGCTGGACTCTGCAATTCTGGAACACCATCCTGAGCCAGGCCCTCTGAGCCAAGCCAGCCATGCACCTCATCATCCCAGAGTTGCCTCAGCCCACAGCATGCTCCTTAGGGGGACTGAGAACAGGAGTTCAGAGTCCTGAGTTTTCTTTTATAGCTGAATGGCAAAAGATTGGTAGCCATGTTATAGCCAGCAGTGAAGATCTGTTTGTTGTCCACTTGGGTCCAAGCTGAGGATGGCAAGATGAGTAGTCTTAACTGTTTATCATGCTTCACTTTTCCTATGAGAATGGTGAAAATTAAAAATAATACATATCAGCATCTAATTTCCTTAAGTTGAGGCAGTTTCTAATAGCAATGTAATCCACATAGCAGCTCCCCAACGCCCTGCAAATGAATTGTTCCCCATGTTTTGCAAGGAACACAGAGGACAGTTACTCCTTAAACACCAACCCTTCCCCATGACGTAACTTAAAACGGCAGCTTTATCATTCATAACTGAATAACAATCGTATTGTGTCTAGTTTAGGACTGAAGAAATCAAGGTCCCATGATTCCAAACTGCCCTTGCTTCTGTTTTTCTCCGCCCACAATTGCCCCAAATACCACACTACGACCAACCACTTGGCAAAAGGAAATATAAACTCAATTGGTGATTCTGTGGGTGACAGTCACACTCCCTCAATCCAACTTTCCCCACAGGATTGTTGTTGTGGGGGGGAAATAAGTGGTGTTATGTATGCCACCTTGAGTTCCTGCAGAACAAGTAGGACAGAAATCTAATTAATAATAAAAAGTGTAGTAAAAACATCCATATAAATGACACACAACCCAGAATTTGCATAACCCTTGCTAAAACAATCGTGAAATGCAGTCCATGATCACCAAATGATTTCTCAGCTCTGGACTTTTTAAATGCTGGTTCTTTTTTTCTTGTTTAGCTATGCAAATAAGCAGTTTAAACTAGCTCAGTTCCATGGTTTCTCCAAACAAGTTTCAGAGCTGTACTTTGGGAGGATGTTAAGAATTGTGATTCAAACAAACACTTAAGTTCTGACAACTTCATTGAACTAAAATAGAACCCTGAATTTGCAGTAATTATGCTTAGAAGTCCTTTCTTAACTTGCCTATTTATCTATTATAAACACAAGTAGTCCTAGACTTACAACAGTTCATTTAGTGACTGTTCGAAGTTACAACGGCACTGAAAAGGGGGCTTATGACCATTTTTCACACTTATGATCATTGCAGCATCCCCATGGTCACATGATTTACACTCGGATGCTTGACAAGTGGTTCATATTTATGACAAATAGTTCATATTTATGTCATGTGATCCCCTTGTGCGACTTTCTGATAAACAAAGTCAATGTGGAAGCCAGTGTTACTGACTGCAGTGATTCACATTACAAACATAGCGAGAGAAGTCATAAAATGGGGCAAAACACACTTGATAACTTTTTCACTTAGCAACGTAAATTTTGGACTCAATTGTGGTCGTAAGTTGAGGGCTACCTATATACTCCAACACAGTGGTGGGTTGCTATTGGATCAGGCAAACTGGTAGCGGTGGTGGCAGGAGGCTCCACCCACCTGCCCAGACGTCTCTGCACATGTGCAGTAGCATTGCGCACGCACCCACGAGCAAATCGGTAGCAAACAAAATTGAAACCCACTACTGCTCCAATAGCTGCAAATTTTATATGGTACATTAAAGGAGTATTTCAGTAAACAAACAGGAAACAAAATGTCAAATGGAATTCAATGGAAATAAGTACTGAAATGAAACTCTCTCAGTGAAGGGAAGATCTGAACCAACTGTAAGTAATCAGGGTTAGATTAGGGTTAGTGTTCGGATTATGAAAATAGCCACAACCAAGCCTCCCCCTCAAAATGGATGAAACATGACTGTAATATTCTAATGCATTTAGACAATAGATGGTATGGTTATAAATGTATAGTTAAATGCAACTCTTGTCACAGCTCAAAAAGAATAATGTAGAACCCTGCCAGAAAGGCCAATCAGAATGACTCCAATGAAGAAATGTTATAGTGTTTAGCTCTCTGGGTTTGGAACAAAGAAAGTGGAAGAGGTAATAAAGAGTGTGAAATGTACCAGTGGTGAAATCCACATTTTTTTACTGCTGGTTCTGTGGGCGTGACTTGGTGGGCGTGGCAGGGGAAGGATACTGCAAAATCTCCATTCCCACCCCACTCCGAGGAAGGATACTGCAAAATCCCCATTCCCACCCCGCTTCAGGGGAAGGATACTGCAAAATCCCCATTCCCACCCCACTCCTGGGGAAAGCATATTGCAAAATCTCCATTCCCACCCCACTCTGGGGCCAGCCAGAGGTGGTATTGGCCAGTTCTCCGAACTACTCAAAATTTCCGCTATCGGTTCTCCAGAACCTGTCAGAACCTGCTGGGTTTCACCCCTGAAATGTACAACGTATAAAGAAAGTGGATCTTCTGATCATGGAGAAACACAGTATAATGAAGTCAAACAGGAGATTCAAGGCAGATGGGAAAGCAGAGGAAAAGCTTTGCATAGTGAACCTACATAACTTGTAACAGTAGGAGATAACCAATAGGATAAATGATTTAAGAGGGGGAGAAAATGAATTATTGGAGGAAACATAGTCTAACATAGTCTTTTGGGCATAACAACTTCATAGTTTACTTTATTGATTAGCCCTTTGGGCCATATCAAAGTGCATAATGACTACAAACCACCTCCAAGCTGAAAATATTTTCAGTATTTTCACTAGTAACCGCACATCCCACTCAGGGCTTCTCAGAAGCTTCTAACTAGCTATTTTAGGATGGCAGCCTGGTTAAATGCTTCATCAGATTCAGTAGAACACTTACACTCTAAACTCACCTGACAATTATATTCACTGGATGTGGATCAGAGTAAAAGGCACATGGAATTTGCACTCATAGAAACAACAGGAATGAGACATGTCCCATGATCTATCCATATTTGTAAAATATGCTCCCTTTCTTTGTCTATTTTAATTTGGTCTCTGACCGCAATAAAAGCTTACTTACTTACCATTTACATTTGCTAAATAGAAAATCTGGGCTAGAAAGTGAGGGAAAAATACAGATTATTAAGAAGAATTAAAGATATTAACAAGTACACTGTATGAAGGAGGAATTTTTTTTCTACTAATATTTTATTCAGAAAAGAAGGAATAAATTCTAAGCAGCTATAGCAGGGGTCTGCAACCTTAAACACTCAAAGAGCCATTTGGACCCCTTTCCCACAGAAAAGAAAACACCAGGAACCACAAAACCCTTCCCGTGCCTGATTATTTCTTGAGCGGCCACAAAACTAGCATATGTAGTTGAATTAAACATTCTGTTTTCTTCGGACACTTTTCTTTTCTTGGATTTATCCATGGTTGGCCTACCGGGGGTTGAAAAGCTCAAATAAATCGCGTGCTGGCAGATGTCACACATTGGCAGTTGTGATGCATATTTTGAGTGAAAGGGAGCCACAGGAGAGGGGTGAAAGAGCCACATGTGGCTCCAGAGCCGCAGATTGCTGACCCCTGAGCTATAGTGTAAGGGTATGTGGGAATTATCTTAGGAGACAGGAGGAAAGCCTTATCTGACATCAGATAAGAGGCAGCTAGGTTGGAAGCAGGAATGGCGGCATGGAAAATGCCTCAGAAAGGATCCTCCCTGGTTTCTTAGATTGTAAAAGTGAGCCAGGACAGACCCCTGCAAACTTACAAGTTTCTGTTAATGTAACCTTACAATAAAGATTGAGTGACTTTTCTTGGATATGCTTGTTTGGGCTGGTCCACAAAGCTGACATATTGTTAAGAAGGATTAAACTCATGCCCAAGTTACTATATTGATTACTTTTGCCCTTCAACATCTCCATCATCAGATTTTTCCTCATATAATGTATTAGCAAAGGAAAGAAGGTATATAAAACATTGAAAAATGTATTTCTTCAAGTTGGAATTACAAGCAATATCCCTTTGATAAACCATAATTTAACATCTTAATAAAATAGACCAGTAGATGGCTCTGTTACCTCCAAGACTTTGCATTACTTTTCTCACAGCACTGAAAATATATTCTACCAATGTCCCCTTAACAAGATTAATATGCAATTTTCTTCACCTTGTGCAAACTGTAGGATAATTATCTTTAATAAGAAGGGTAGGGAGTTTTTTCCATGATAAACAAATTCAATCCTTCATTATAGTCTCAAATCCAGTTTGTTATTACAGAATTTCAAAAGTTCTGAATCAGTTTTGCAACTGAAATCTAAAAATAATTGTTATTAACATTTGGGTCTCTTTTGTTTTAGCTGATTAGGTCTAACAGTAATTTGCTCATACTGGCAGAAATTTTAAGTCAGAAACCATTTGGAGCCAAGAAATTCCAATAATGTGAGGGTGTAAACCTATATGTACTTACTAAGCATGTTTTAAACATGCTAATTTAAAATAAATACAAAGATGAGAGGTCTTTTTCTCTACAATGAATTTCCCCTTTTCTTTCTTGAGAACATATTTTTGCTGAGACCAGCCCAATCATCAAACAAGGCATCATGCAGAACTTCCTATTTTAAACAATCCTAAAATTTACAGTACAGTAAAGTCAGTACATTTTTCCAGGTAATATTACTTAAAAAGAGGCAGGACTAAATAATTAAAGTTGTTTTTAAAAATCAGGACTTTGAAACAATGAATAAGACACATTCCTGGAAAACATATACTTGCAGTTTTCAAATTTTAAAATATTCACACATGCACACACTGCCTTATCTATATATGTAAAGAGTTTTCCCTATCATTGCATGCTTTCTACCAGTAACTTTAACACCCTTATTTAAATTTTGCTTATCAGGACTGGAAGTTATGTTAGATCTGCCACTATTAACAAATTATTTTCTTCAGCTATCAAGAAAATTATTTACATTTAAGTAATTCACACTAATTCCATACTTCTGTAATATCTGAGATCCAAATAAAAACAAAAGCTAATTCAGGGAAGGCCATTTATCTTTCATTTAACTGCCTGAAATTTATGTAGTTTAAAAGAAAGCTTGATCAGTCTTTCCCAAAAAAGCAATTATGGTGTTTAAGGAGGAGCTACTCTGCTCAAGAGTTGAGAAGTTCACGGGGCCATCATCTTAATTTTCGACATAACCCATACAGATATTTACGTCCTTTCCTCCCTCAAACAATTCAACCCAAACCCATCATCTCAGTTTTAACAAGTATGTGTACTGCATTGCTTCAACACAAACAGGCCATAAAAGACACCAAGAGAAAGGTGTGTAAACTATATATATATATAGTACCACCCAAAAAATTAGCCTGTTCCAGTTTGAGGATCGAGACCACATAAAATGCCCTTTAGCTCTTCATATTACACACCATAGATCCTACTGGTTAGTTTTGTATCAACGAGAATGGAAAAATGTTCTTACGGCTGTCTTCTAAGGAGAAAGGGGAAATGGAAAAGATAAAATGTGAGCAGATATTGAAGAAACATCTCCAGATGAACAAGTTTTCCCTAGCTTTAAATATAGGCTTCTATAATTCTGAGTTATTGAAAGAAACATATTTGGCAAGTTAGGAAACAGCTACGTTGAGAAAACTAAAGTCAACTACATGCTACTTTTTTCACGTTTAGATTTCTGAACAACACACATTCTTCAATTTCCAAATTGAATAAATGGAAAACATGTATATCAGTATAACCGAAATAATTGAATAGATCTTTGCTTGGATGCTCACAGAGCAAAGAACAATATAAACAACTACAATGGGTTTTAAATTCCAGGAGAATCATATAGGACTGATGAAATTATCAATTGTTATGAAGATTACCGATATGTACAAAAGTAAGAAGTCTGTGTGTCGTGCTTCTAGATGTTTGCTTTTTCATTACTTTTAATCTATTATCTTAATGACAGTATTTAACTCTCTGATTTGAACTTTGGTTACATTTATCCATATGGAAGAGTGAATTGGAAACATATTTACTGTACACATTAATTTCTACATTGATAATACCTATAAAATTGCTATTCAACTGCTAGAAGAATTATTATTTAGCCACTAGGCTAATGAAAAACTAATAGACCATTTAAAAACCGGTTAGAGTAAAACCTTCCTTGGGATATAAACCTGCCCTAAAGCCATAAAACTCAAGTTAAGTGCTCTTGACGCATTTGTAAATAATAATAAAACCCATTTATGTAGTCACAGAGCTGTAGCACAGGATTCTATCATAGCATCAGTTAGCAGAATTAGATGCCACAATACTAAAAATCTTCTGTACTCTCTGGGGCAAAATTAGATTAACTTCTTGCTTGGCCAATAGAAATTGCAATTTCAGAATGTTTACAAATATAATACCTATTTAGCTTTCATGCTAGACATTAAGCAAATCAAAATCTTGGATTTTTCTTTCACTTCTGCGCAAACCTAAATGCATGCCCTTTATTAGTACATTTCCGAAGCAAGGAGCTGTTCAGTAAAAATCTAAAGCATTTTGCTGAACAGCTAACCCAGCTAGTCTCTTCCCTTCCCTTCCCTTCCCTTCTCTTCTGTGGTAGTTGATGAAAGGTGTTATTTCCAGTAAATTTCTATAATTGCAGCTTTAATTCAGTAATCTGGAAGAGTGAGAGAGAGAAAAGAACTATTCTGGGAAGCAAAGAGGAGAAAACAGTATAAATTTAAACTGTCCTTCACCAGCCATCCAAAACAACTGCAGAGTCTCCACTTATTCCAAATGCTAAGATCAACTCACCTGATTATTTGCTAAAGCTGGAAGCCAACAGGCTAAGAAGTTCAAGTATGCTGGTTTCATATCCCTTCCCTCTGAAAGACAAAGCTTTTTCAGCAGAGTAAGCTTGGACCGGCATTGGGAGTGCACCAGAGAGAGGTGGGGCCAAGATCCACCCCTCTGCTGTCATAGCCTATTGGTTTGGGAGCCCTCCCTGCTGCTTTTTACCTTTCCCTTTTCCCCTCTTCCCTCCCAAGTATTACCACTGCGAAACTATTGTATATTTTACAGTGAGTTAAGAGTTCCAATTACAATGCACAACCTGCTCTTTTGTCTGGGGAAAGAGAAAGAGGGAAAAAAAGAACACAAAGCAGCAAATACACAATCCTTTTTTGAACCCACCCACCCCCCAAGAACTCAGCTTCTCAATTTCTAGGATGACAGGACTGTTGCATTGTTCTCAGTAGGATGACTGTTACACTCCCATTTCTGCTTTTTGGAGAAAGTAGCACTTCTGCTCTAAGACATCATCATAGTAATGGACAACCTAAAAAGGTACAAAAGCAGGGGGGAGGGGGGGAGAGAGAAGAGATGGTTGGGAACAGCTGGGAACCCTGCCCTGAAACCATTCTCAAAAGGGATTATGCAGCTGAATAGTGCTGCCTCCACAACAGGAGAGTCTGTACTCTACTGGGCCTCTTGGAAGGGATGCAGTAGCGTCCACAGAAAGTTGGCATGGAATAAAAGCTATTGTTGGAAGGGAACTCTATTTTCTTTGCAAGTTGCTCTTCAGAACTATGTCATTCTACAGTGCTCACCAACTTGAAGCTGCACATTCCCTATGATAAGTAGAAAACTCTCAACTTGTATTTCCTCCATTTCCATATTAGGAAATCCAGTCGCGACATTTGACATGTGATCTGAATCCATTAAGACAACAGTAGAAATTAAGAATCATTGAAGGAGAAATTCAGGTTATATAGACCAAAAACAACTGAGTTGTCCTGGGCTATCTCCTGTTACTGCAGCTTCAATTAATCTGGGCATTAGAGAGAGAGATAATAAGGGGAGCACCAAATGTCTTTCTGCAAAATAGTGGAAAAAATTAGGAAAACACCAAATGTCATTCTTGATCCAATAATTGTGTGAATTGTGTGATAATGTAGCCTTCACATTTTTATTGTTTGTGACATAGTAATACAAAGGTAATCAGCAAATATGGGACATTATCAAGCAGCAGCTGATTATAGCTTGCTTTTTTTTTTGTTAAGGGTCCTCTAGTATACTAGCAGTTTAAAAGACAAAACTTCTTTGCAGTATAGTTTGTATTTCTAATTAAAATTTGAAAGCTGCACTTCAGGTTGATGAAGATTTTTCATTCATGATCAACATGGTTTACTAACCGAACCTAAAAAGCCACGGCCTACAATTTATGTACAGGGTTGAGAACATGCTGAACCCAATCAATAGGACACTGCATTAAGTATCGTGCTCTTCAATGGATTCACACGTAAGCACACATATGCAAACACTCAAACACCTACACTTCAAAATTTATTCCTGAATCACTGAATGTCATTTTATATTTAGCACCATAAATAGATACTATAGATAGAGCATTTATTCTATTCAGATGTATGGAGTGTACGTACATTGTTTATGTCTCAGTCATCTTGAGGAAATGTGGATCAAGTAGAAAGAAGAGGGGGAAGTTATTACTCATAATTCAAAGCTTACACTTTTGCAGGTGCCTGTTTGGCTACTAATAACAGTCTCAGCAGAGAGCAGGCAGGCATTATAAACCACTAATCTCCCCCACAACAGACTTGCCAAGAGACTAGATCTGCCAGGCATACAGCCAAATTAGATGCTACAGTGGAAGTGTCCAGGACAGATAACTGCAGTTGTAGCCCATCATGCTGAAAATAAAACTCTGGTCATGATGAGTCTAACAGAACTGCTTTGTTTATTATACCTTGACATTCTAGATGCCATTATGCATATCTTACTAAAATTAAAATGATTTGGCTATTTCAGCTATGAAATTTTTAGGTCTATTTTTGTTTTATTCAAAAGAAGTTAAAATACAAAACTCCAAAATATTTTTTAAAGAAACAAAGAAAAATCCCACAAACCAAGCAAAACACTAACTTAACACATATATACATATTATCCCCTCCCCCGGCTGAATACTGATTAATATACTACAACAATATTAGTCTCCCACCCCTTGCAAAACAGGCCACCCAAATTTCAAACTACTGCCAGTAATTCTATTTGCAAGTTATTAATCTATCATCTATATATTACATGAATGACAAAATAGATAACAGGAAATACAATGATACTAAAAAAGACAAGATTAAAGTTTCAAAACCCTGTGTCAACAAGCTGTTATTATAATCAACTCATAGAATATTTACCAGGGCTTATATATCCCAAATCATTCTAAGAGTTAACACTGATTTATCCTGGATCAAATATCCACATCTGTTTCTTAATACCATCTCTTATCAATTATCTAGTTAAACATACTAAGCCTAATCTCCAAAGTAGGTCTATCTTCCCAAAAATGTCCAGAGGAAATTGTTTACCAGCTATGTGTGATAAATTCATTGCCCAATCTCCTTCTATCCTCTTAAGGAAACCAATTTATCACTTATCCATTCAATTAGTTTTCAGCTGCTATAAAAGAATGCAGGCTTGAACTTCAAGGAAGTGTATGCAATTGACTTATTTAGTTCTAAGTCTGTAAAGTATTTCTTTCCAGTGAATCTGCTACTTTCAGATCACATTTCTTTTGTGAACCTGATTTATCTACAGTTGCATGCATCTGAATACTTTCCACAGCCATTATCATTTCACCAAACTTTTTAAAAAAAGCTTTCAACTAGGGACTCCATGTTACCAAATTGTCTTTTTTAGATGCCAGCCACTTTTCCTTGTTTGTAATCTGATACATTGTTGCTTTGTGTAACCTAGCAGATAGGTAGATAACAGAATTTTTCAAAGACACAAAACAAGAAACAAGAAATAATATCCCTGAGAAAATAGAGAAACAGGGAAGATATTTTGATCCAAAATTAAAAGAAAGATTAAAAAAAATAAGCTCCAAACTTTTTGCAAATTAATAAAAGACAACATCCTTGTAGTGAATGTCCAAGAAAAATGTAAATCAAGTAAAAGTACTCTCACTATCTAGAAATACGCCACGATTTCCTTAAAGAAAAATGAAAATTATTCAAAACAAGAAAATAGATCAAAGGAGAGAGACAAAAAAAAACAAAAACAGATGGAGTCCAGCAGAGGATTATAATAAATCAGCATTCAACTAGTTGGTCAACTTTTAATGATAAGAAGCAAAGAAAAACAGAAGCTTTAAAAAATAAAGTTAAAACCGAGGCATTCTTAAGAAAATGAACTGACCAGAAGAAAAATGGATGCCCGGTGACTTTCTGACCCCTCCTACATGCAACTGTAATCTTCAAGATTCCTCTTCAAGGTGGGGGGGAAGGTCCACGGACAACAAAAGCTATCTTGGGGCATTTCTACATTCTTCCATTCAAATTTAGGAAGTAGCTCTGTCAAAGAACCAGCTTTGGCAGCAAAAGCAGCAGATCCTTTGCAGAAGGAAGAAAAGTTCCTACTGTTCGGCAGCCATCTTGGAAGAGAAGTAATGAACAGTATTAGAAACACTAGCACTTGAAGATTATGCACAGTATATGGCTGTATAAAATGTCTGAAAGCCAGCAAAAAAGATATATTCCTAGATATTAAGGAGTCTTTAGCAATAGGCCATGCTCAGTAATACAGCATACACTTTGCATGCAGAAGCTGTGCGTTTTGTTTGAAAATATCGGAAGAGACACTGCCAGTCTATACAGACACTGCAGAAATAAGCAGACCAATGATACAAGACACCTTCCAACTTCCATGTATTCTGTGTACTTCACACATGTGTGCCCTTATATAATGTAGCATTAGGCCAAGTAGAGGCAGAACTTCATCTCATATCTGTATCTGATCTAAACGTTTGGGAAAGCAAAGTGATAACATTTTCCTCCCTCTTGGCCAGACCACACTGCTTATGCAGTCGTCACCAATTCTTTTACAATTATTCAAAGCATTTAAGGAACTTACACATCATGAATGTGTGTGCACGCTTGTGCATGCATATATGGAGAGAAGAACAGTGTCAGTTCTTATCTACCTACCCAAATTACATGCATTCACTTGATTGGCCTATAACCTCTTCAAATCCAAACTTGCACACAGTCACTTTGTGTATGTAGTGTCCTACCACACGTTTAGGTCTTATTACTATTTAAGCTGCATATTCCTGTTTTTCACACAATTGTATTCAACTAGATAAGGTAAAGGGATGCGGTGGCTCAGTGGCTAAGATGCTGAGCCTGTCGATCAGAAAGGTCGGCAGTTCAGTGGTTCGAATCCCTAGCGCCACATAATGGGGTGAGCTCCCATTACTTGTCCCAACTTCTGCCAACCTAGCAGTTCGAAAGCACGTAAAAAATGCAAGTAGAAAAATAGGGACCACCTTTGGTGGGAAGGTAACAGCGTTCCATGTGCCTTTGGAGTTTAGTCATGCTGGCCACATGACCACGGAGACGTCTTCGAACAGTGTTGGCTCTTCAGCTTTGAAACGGAGATGAACACCGCCCCCTAGAGTCGAGAACAACTAGCACATAGGTGCGAGGGGAACTTTTACCTTTACCTTTAGATAAGGTAATGTATAATAGAGGCAACCACAGATTCAACAAATAGATGCATAGAGTTTATATGCGCATAAGGACAATGTAGTTTAATGTATATACAAATCTTCTGGGCATAGTTTTTGTCACTATCTTGTCCACAGCTTCTAACACAGTATATATTAACTAACCAAATGCTAATGCTAACAGTGCTAGCCTCAATACTCCAGTTCTCTGATAGATCAAGTGTTATTGGATATATTTTGTGAATGAATCACTTTTATCATTGTTCTGATTTTTCATCTAAAAGAAACTAAGATTTCCATTCAAAATACTAGATGTTATCTTTCTGATTCTAATAATGCCCTCCCCCCTACCTATGGATTATGAGTCTCCTGCAAATCTGCTTTTGAACCTGAAGATTCACATTTCAACAAAAAAATTAAGCATCTCCTACTCCGAATGAAATGCAGTCAATAGAGTCTAAACTGATCTGGCACAGGATCAATTCGGGCTTTGCTTTATTCTTTCCCTGGGAGACAGTCTGAAGATTTTTTAAAAACATATTATAAGCCCTACCTGACGAACAGAGAACAACATTTGTCCAAGAAACCAGGAAACAAAACTCCTTTACCTGAAAACCAGGTAAGCAGGCCAGGCCTCAGCATGATTTAAAGGGAAAAAAGCCAGACAAAGGGAAGGCAAATTTAAAGCACAATTTAGAAGGATGGCAAATGTTACAACATATATTTAACATTCCTGCAGCTTATGTTCCAAGGGACCTAAAACCTTGAGGACTGTATCAAAGTGTAACAATAACTCAACAAATCACACCAATCTGAATTTTTTAAAAATTGTATAAACATGTTTTAAAAAATTATGTATGAATGACTGCTGGGCAAAAATAAAATCGATAAAAATCAAAAAATCTTCTGGAAGAAATTATTCAGCACCAATGTATAATATTAATAAATTATACTGCCTGTAGTACTCAACAGTACAGAACAATAAGATACACATTATTATTATCTTTCATCACACAGTCAGTCAGATGTTCAGACTGCATTTGGCACTTTTATCCACCTATTGAGTCCTTTCAAAGGACCTGGGGTATTCTTATATTTTATCCTGCCCAGATGAAGTTAAATATAATGGCGAACATTCCTAATCCTCTTGCCTCCTCTTTTTGCCACCACAGTTGTGTGAGGTCAGTTGAGCTGAGAGAGAAGGCTTTCATGCCCAAGAGAGGCCTAGAATTCACAGTAATGAAAATGGGCACACTTAATTATACAGTATTGCTTTTCCACTTTTAAAACTTTTAAAATCACTTTTAGAAGCAATACTGTAGGACAAAGTGGCAGAATTTATTATCTTCCCTTTAGATGCAAATATAAAGTTTTTAAGTTACCAAACTAGCAACTTCATCCCCACAAGAGATGTATGAGGTGAATGGTCAAGCCCAAAGTTCTCAAACAAAGTTGTTTTAGAAGACACTACAAATAGGTACCCACAAACAAGATGGAACTCATATCTTAGTCATTGGGAGATGACTCTTTGGGAGTTATTTGAAAAATTGAATGCATAGATTGTATTGAAGGAGAATATGCTTCACAGTACAATTATTGTATAACTAAAGTCTCCTGAAAAGGAAATTTGATTGCTTTAATGGAGATGTTGAATTATATTGAGGGAGATGTTGAATTATAACTTAGAATAGGAAAGAGGAACATTTCTCATTACAGTATTTTCTTTAAACCTCACTTGATGATGTCATTGTGTCTAGTCTAGTTGTCTACCTTAAGGAATAGGCAGGCAGCTTACAATTAGATCTCATGACCTGGCCTGGAAAGTAAACACTTAGCTGAGGGGAACTGGGAGTTGCTTATTAATAATTTTAAAATGTATTTTTAAAAAGTTAGCCTATTGTAAAATACTGTATGCATTTATCCTCCGAGAAAAAGACTCAGAAACCTTGGCCTTCCAAGAAGAGAGAGAAGAAAAACTGGGAAGCTGCCCTCCAAACTGAATGAAAGGGGAACAGAACAGTTATAAAGTTCCTCTCTGATCTGGAAAATTCCCTCGCCCTTCTTCTGACCCATCCCCCCTCAGTTCTTAAATACAGTATGTGCTCAGAGTAAGGAAGATAGAAGCACAGCTGTAATTTATTTAATTTCAGCTCCTTGAATTTGCTCCTGGTTTGGTAAACTGAGGCCTCTGTTATCTTACTGGCTCTTCATCAGAGCAAGGCTAATAATATGTTGCAAAAACCCTTTTTATCCGAGGAATGCACAAATATTGCCTTGATCTAACAGCCTTTGTGAGTGCAAAAGAAAACTCACAATGAAGTAAGTTCCCTGTTTCTTTAAGATTCATGAACTGACATTCAATTGCTGATTTCAGTTCATTGAAATTTTAAATAAGGCTGCAATCACACACTCTTTTACTGAAGAATGTTCTTCTGAATAAATATAAAGGTTACTTCTCAATAAGTGTTCAGAGGATTGTTGCATAAATCTATTGTCTGTCAGTCATTGTTAACAAAATATTCCAGCTGTTTTGTCCCTACAACAAAAAAAATAATAAATTTCTAACTATACAATTGTGCTTCAGTTTTGTTTCCCAACAACCTACATTAACCAGAAAAAAAATGACTCAGAGAATACCAGTAAAATTATTTGGAAAGGAAATCTATTTATTTCAAAACAAGACCTTTAAATAAAATTAGGGTCAGGGTGGATAAAAATCGATGGGTTTTTTTTAATCAAAAAAATCAATTTTTTAATTTAAATCAGATTTTTTAATTTAAATTTTATTTTTTTTATTTTTATCAAATTTATTTTAATAAAATGCTTTTGGAGTAAAAATCTATTTGAACATAGTTTTCTGTTTAAGATATATTCATAATTTAATTTATTCATTATTTAGCTATAGGTAACTTCGGTGTAGTTACTCTCCACCCTAGGAAGAAGCCAGTGATAAACTACTGTTCTTCCAAAAATGCTGCCAAGAAGGCTGCACGGAGTCCTCTGGGCAGCAGCCAGAAGTCAAGACTGACTTAGAGACACATACCTCTCCCCAAGAAAGTTCAATACTGCTTTTTGGAAAGCTATTTTAACACCCTAAGGCTTTCATTTATGTTCTATTGAGGGTTTTCCTGTACTCTGTGCACCATCAAAGACAGCTGTTGCAATTTAACAGCAGAATCAATTTGCCTAGCATAAAAAGGAGTGTGAATAAGAAAAGGAGAGGCAGATGTTTCAGAATGGCTTTCTCATTAGGCCACTATGTCTACAAATCCACATCTGTTCTAGCTACACTACAGAGCAGAACCATGCCAGAACATCCACAGACTGCATATGTATATGACACTGAAATAAAGATTTCAGATACCATTCAGTAATCATTCCAAAACTAGTAACCCTCCTGATATGTTGGATTACAGTTCCCAAAAATCTCAACCAGCATGTTGAAGTCTGGAGGACACCAAGTTGGTGATTGCTATATGACTGCAAAATTCACCAAATGACCATGAGCAAGTCTTCATGTCAAGCTTTACCAGAGGGGATACAAGACATCTCCACATAGGCAGCTAAACTTTTTAAGTAATTTCTGTGCAGCTGTTGAATTGCAAGAATGAATTGTTCTCACACTACTTTCGGTTCTGTTTCCCAGCTTCCAAGCAAAGTAATACAGGCAGTCCCTAGGTTATGAATGAGATCTATTTCTAGGTCTTCTTTGAATTGAATTTGTAGGTAAATCAGAAGTTATTTAGTGTTAGTCAAATGCTTGTCTTAATATATAGTACGCGTAGTCTTCAATTTACTACTGGTCATTTAATGAGTTTGAAATTACGATGGCCTCAGAAAGGGTGCTTCACAGCAGTAAAGCACTTTCAGCCATTGTAAAGCATCATGCTTTCCCACAGTCACGGGATGGCGACCTGGGTGCTTGACAATCTGTTCAGATTTATGACTGTGACCATGTGATCACCATCTGCAATCTTCTCTGGTGGCTTCTCCAGAAAGTCAATGGGGAAGCTGGTAGGGAAGGTTGCAAGCTGCTGCCGGTTGCCAAGAGGACTCCCTGTCATCTCTGGGGAGTGGTTGAAAGAGCTGCCCACTGGAGGAATCTCAGTTCCATGTGGAGCTGAGATTTCCCCCATTCCAGAGCTGAGATTTCCCCCATTCCAGAGCTGAGATTTCTCCCACCCCGACAAAGCATTTCCCCTTCCCTCTGCCTACGGGGGTGGGGGAATCCTTCTAAAAATGTCAAGATTTAACTCTATTCCTGCAGCCCAACAGATTCCCCTCCCCTCGTCATGTATAGTTCTTGCACTTAGTCCTACAAATCCATGCTCCATGGCCAATATATACAACATAGCAGTGCCAGCTGTAACTTCTACTGTAAATGAAGGCTCTACTACAGCATTAGTAGTTTATGATTTGGAAGATCTTAATTCAAGTCACTAATCAAACATATTAAACTTGGACTGTCAATATCCTCAGTGAGGAAGAGAAAGCTACCTTTTAGAAATAAAGATGGGACCTCCCTCAGCTGTTTGCTTTTAAATGGGATGGGATTAAGGACTGCCCCTCTGTCAGTCAGCCTCCTCTCTGGTTTAATACAGAAGAATAAAAATGGAAATAAAACCAAGTGAGAAAAACCTAAAGCCATCCCAAAGGTGGCCCCCTCCCTTTAACCTCTTGGCCATGGTAGTGGGCAAGGATTAAACCCTGATCACATGATCCAGCCAATTGCATTTGTATGTCGGGATGTAAAACCCGCCCTGCTGAGCAGCCTTTTCTCTGCCTGAGGCAGGGAAAGTGGGGTGGGGGTGGGGGCTTCTGCTGAATGTCTCGCTCAACAGACACACAAAGGGGATTAGCCAAGAGCCTCTCAGCCCTGCAGAGTAATCCATCAAATTATCCCCTTGTTGGTGCTGCCGTCCTCTTGGGGAGGGAGCAAGGCTCTAAAGGCTTTTGAAGACACTGAAATTACCCTTGAGCCTGAAACAGTCGTCGTAGTCCCCAGCTGCTTCTAGCTGAGCCCTACAATGGGGCAGTTGTAAACAGAAGACAACGATTTGGAAGGGAAAAGAGAGGGATCTCTGCGAGAAAAAAGAGGAGAGGCAGCCAGTGTTAAAAAAGGCAGCAGCCTCTCCCATGTGTCAAAACCCAACAGGTGGCTTAGCCAGCTCTCCAGTAACAGAAACAACAGCAGCCAGGAGAACTATCCAGCAATACATGCCAAGCTCCTCCCAGCCCACCCCTTCTCCATTTAGGGAAAGAGTCCCTATTTCTAAGAGTTTAAGTTTGGTATTGTGTAGCAGTGCCCCAGGCATTTTCCTTTCTTCCAAGCCATTTGGGGGCTTTGGGTTTTATCGCTTTTCCTTCTTAACACACATGGAAGAGATCCAGACTTCAGCTAGGCTTCTCCTGGTGCTGGGCTGCATTTGACCTGCATTCTTGAAAAATGTGAAGTGAGCAGTGGGCCTGGTCCAGAAATGCCATTTCTGAAGATACCGTTTCACAAGTACCTCATTCAAACAAGATCTGGGAGTTTATTGGAGGGTAAGTGGCATAAGAAAAAGCGAGCTTTGATTTTTATTAAATAAAGATAAAATACATTTGTAACTTCTAAGTGGCATTAATATTCCCAGATCTCAAGATAAGGATCAAGAGGGTGAAACTGCTATAAGGCCATGCATGGTCTGTTCCCTGGCTCTGGCTGGTTGTTTCCATAGCAGAAGCCTTCATCCTTATTCACCATCCACTGTCAAATAATCACTTTCAGGTCAAGATAGTTTGAACTCACTTTAAAATCTGGACACAGTTTCAAGTTTAAAGCACTTAACTTTGTTTTAAGATGCTCTTCCAATAAGCATCAAGGGAAATGCTCATATCCTTTAATCCAACTTTCTGGCAAAGGAAAAATTCAGTTATACATCATATCCAAAGCGACAAGAGACACACATGATCTGCACCAGGGGTGGGTTCTAAATTTTTTTACTACCGGTTCTGTGGGCGTGGCTTATTTTGTGGGCGTAGTTTGATGGTCATGTGACAAACAATTCTTTAGGATTTAGCAGAGGTACTGGTCTACCAGGCGTGCAGAGCCATACCGGTCTACCCATTTGTTTTTGGAGTGCACTGGTCTACCACCACACTGCCTTTTACCGCTGATCAGCTGTAGGGCAGCCCTTTGAAGCACCGCGGCAAGAGTTTAAACAGTTTTTTGCCGCTCTGCCACCACCGAGAGCATTGGAAACCACTTTCAGGCAGCTTAGCCTCAATTGCCAATCTACCACCGACTGGTTTACAAGGAGCGGATCGGTTCTAGTCGATCAGTTGGAAGGCTTCTTGGTTTCTCAATTTAAAGCTAAGATGTCTTGGTTTTTTTCCCTCTTCTTTGTCAAGTGAGCCCTGATTTTTTCCTTCTAGCCAATCAGCTGGGACTCAGGAAGCAGCAAATAGATTGGGAGCGGGGCCAGGGAACTACTCAAAATTTCCACTACCGGTTCGCAATAACCGGGGCGAACCGGTAGCAACCCACCACTGATCTGCACCACACTGGGATGAAATTGCAGAGAGTTTTAGTGTTTTGTAATTTTTATCCAGAACTGGACCCCTTCACATACAACTCTGCCTTCAAGCTCCAACAGAGTATAACTTGTATGTGCAACTGAAAACTTCTGTGCCTCACAGCCATCCTATGAAGTAGGATATAATATTTCAAGCCATTTAATCAGAGTCGCATGATCAATTCACACAAGGTGCTACTTCTCCTTTCCTTGTAATTATAGGCAAAAACTGTATTTTCCTTTCTTTGTTATCCATTTTATCCCCACCTCCATTTCATAAGATATCACTCTTTTGAAATGGCGGATTTTTTTGAGAGAATGGCAATACAGAAGTGTATTGGAGTACTGTGAAGATACAGCATTGTGTTATAGAGTTAACAACTACCGGTATCAATCTTTTGACCTAATTACTACCTATATGTAAACATACCTCATTACCTGTTGGCACTACAAGTATTTTCACTGTCTCACACCTATCCTTTTACCATTCTGAAAGCAATGCAGTTTTTTTTTAAAAAAATCCAAATTATATTGCTTTTAGCACTCATTTTTAATATTATAACTCTTACACACTCTGACACTTTTAGTCTCTTGAATCCAGCATACTGAATTTAAGTTTTTTTAATCTCCTTCTTTCTTCAGAGTTCCTCCAAAGTTACATTTGCTGCAAAGTTGTAGAATACAATTCAAAGCCACCAAAGTTATGAATTTAAGGGTGTAGAGATAATCTGAACTGCTAGACTTCACATTTAGAAATTAAAAGGCAGATGATTTGAAAAGTTTTCATTCTTTCCCCCCCCTATACACACACACACACACTTCACAGTTTAGCCCTGAACAGAAACAAATACTCTGCCAGTTTAACATCACTCCATGACATCAAGAATCTCAAAAATGCAAAGGTCAGACTGAAAACAGCAGCAGCTAACTTTGCTCCCCCTTTTTGTGACAGTGCCTGGTCATGCTGTCAAAGACAATTATTTACATTTTCCATTTTGCCTTTTTCTTCTAGCCAGCATGACACAAGGACTTTTGGGACAGATATAGAGGGAGAACTACCAGCTGATACAAGACACATTGCAGACTGAATCCTGAGGTCTCCAATTGGAAGGGAAGCTAATGAACCTAAAGAAGGATCCCATGAAACCTTTAAATGTAAATATCTCTAATACACCATAAAACAAAATGGTGAATTTAAAACAAATCACGCTTGCACATAGAATCCAACCCATTATATTGGATTCAGATCCAAGATAATAAGCTAAAGTCAAACAAACCACCTTATCGACTCGTATGTGTGAAATCCAAATAAGTTTTTTCAGGCAAAAATATAAGCAATTCACTGGCTAATCCAGTACAAAAAAACTAGTTAAAATTTTTGAATGAGAAGATAATTTGTTGCCAATAGAGGGGCCTTATTTGGTATAGAACAGTACTGTAGTGATAGGAGAAAAGCACATTACTCCAAGTTTCAGCCACAAGAAGCTTTGAAGAAATTATGATAGCAAATTCTTAAGCTTTATTACATTTTTCTGACTGAAGTTGAAAAGCATGACCTTGTGCTCTTCTGTGAGGGATAGGTTTTGAGTTCCAGACATACTAATGGCCCCTTTTGTGGTAAGTAACGCATTTTTGCCTGTGGCAGTTTTGTGGCCTGCCATTCCATGATTATTTATAATCATGCCAGCTATTTCATGTCATCATTGTAATTTTTGACCACTGCAAAGAAGGAATCTGCTGATAATCTCCAAAGCAGAGGGGCATGGCGTGGAAACCAAGAACCCTTATAGAAGAAAACAGACAAGTATAGAATATGGATTAATTTCAGTTACAGCATACTGTTAAAAAAACTAAGACAAACGTGGATGTACTGGGAAGAAGCAATTCTTGTGTGTTCAATTGGGTTGAAAATGCCAGATTTTGAAAGAGTCGCCTCACTTTTCTCTCATGAGTGACCTAAGTAACATAAATTCCATTCTTCTCAGGGATTTCTGCAAATCACATCAGCCCAATTATCTCTTTAAGAATAAAGGCATTTCCCTAGCTTATCAACGTTTCTTTTGATAGCCTGAAATTTAAGCTGTTGGCAACTATAACTATTATACCATCAATTTCTAAAGTAAGACTTTAGAAATCTATGGCTCTCATGCTATTGCTTAACCATAGTTCCAACTTGCCCTAATTTCATTAGGGGAAATGGGAATTATGGTTGAGACACACGTTCCTCAGTGGTCTACTAAAATGACTGAGACCATTCTTAGGAACTGGTACTACTTATATTTCAGTTTTCCCTAAGACTCACCATTTAGCTAAGACTGGTTAAGATACGTCTTTCATCATATTCTGCAGTATATCATATGGCCAGGAATTATGAGAAATCACTTGATTGTTCAGATTTTAATAATTCTTTTCAAATAAAGCACCAGCTAAGTCTCTTGTACAATTGGGATAATTAATCGAATGCTTTCCACATAATCAGATCCTTTTATCCTGTTAGTTTCTCAACAGGAAAAGAAGGAAAGTGGGTTTTGGCAATAGAAGATTGGTTAAGTTTGCACTCTTGAGTCGAATTTGGCTGCTGCAAATTTTAAGACTTAGTACACACAGCATGGTTGAGAAGAACAAGGCTAACTATAAACATGAACTCTCTCACTTACTGGCGCTCTGTACAGACAGGGTGGAGACATCTTCCTGGCAGTCTCTGAAAATTACAGGCATATTCTTTTCCCGTTAGTCCTTTATGTTTCATTTCTTCAGAAATCTCAAATTTTGCAGATCAAAGATCATGGAGAATATACATGGAGTGGAAAACTTCCTCCCTCTCATACACCTTTCTGGTGCCTTCAAATTATGCTTTCTATAACTAATATACTTTGATTTTCAAAAAGTACTTACTGTGCATTGTAGGTAGTGAATATACAACATAAGAATCAGGTCAAAACCCAAAAACAAATAAGTATATAGAGAGGGAAGGTTAGAGTAAGGACAGTCATAATTGCTGTGAAAGTCTGAGATTGTTTTCCTGGGGCTATTCATATTTTCATATTGCCCAGAAATAAAAATGGGGGTACCCATAAAAACATAGAATTTGAACAGATTGAAAAAAACATCTAGGAAGAAAGCAATGGCAAACCATTTCCATACAAGAAAACTATAAAATTGCACTCAGGTAGTCACCAAGAATTTCAGGTAATTCTTAAAACTTTAAATAAGTAATGCTAGGATTCTCTTCCTCCCACCCCAAATTCAGTCCAAGATGCAGTTACATAAAATGCCAATAATATACAAAAATGATCTTACATTTGTTACCTGGGAAATGCAGTATCCAAGGGTGGTTTGCACAAGGCTCAATGTAACTCTCACAAAGCTTTGTGTACTGTAAGTCACTGTGAACTTTGGAGTTAATATAGACAGGATGGTATGTTTAATCACCCTGCTCATTGGCTGGTGCAATATGCAAAGGTGATGAAATTCATAATTTTGCCCAATGGAACTAAGCCATTTATTTCCCTATTGATCCATCTGACTGCAGCAAAGGAGAGGCACAATACTAAGACTCTCCCTTTCTCCACCCATCCACCCACTCATCCATCCTACTTTTATCTGGGACAAGCTGCCATTTGGCTACTCCACTTATCCCAAAAAAATCTACAGCAGTGAACATTACAGCTGGATGTTTTGCAACTTAGTTATGTAACATTTATGAAAGTATGATAGCTTATTTGCTTATCTTCCTCCTTTTGGGATCCCTGACTTTTTTTCTTCCATTAATCACTTAGATTTTTAGTTTATTTTACTTCTTTTTCAGAAATTTTGCAAGGCACAAGTAAAGATAAACGAACACCTATACCAAGGAAAGCATGTATGCTCAACCTCTCTTTTTGATGAAATAGTGATTACAGTGAACAAAACAGTTAACCAGAAATGAATGTGAGTATTATAATGCCACCTATGGACTTGGTTCTGTTTGAGAAATATAACTGAGGAATAAGACTCAGAAAATCCTATGGGCCTCCCAATAACACTTCATACAAAAAAACTTTTAGTAAAGCCAGCTTGCAAACTAAGCCCTATTCAACAGTTCTATCTGAAGATAATTCATGATTAGTTCCCATTTTGCATAATGCAACAAAACAGCTTAGATGATAGATTACATAGATGACAAAAGGTAGGTAGGTAGATAGATAGATCGATGTTGCTTTGGAGTGAAACAAAGCCTATCCTTTTGACTCACAAATCTGTCAATAGATGACAATAAGGAATAGTTTTCAAATACAAGGAATAAAGAAATTATTCTCAGAAATCAAAAAGAAATGAAAAAAGCTGCATTGCATGATTTTTTCCTGGGACAGCCAAGTCCACATATGCTATTATGTTTAACTTTTCTTGCCTTTCTTGTAATACATTACGCTGCACTTAAGTAGCTTTCAAAACATGAAGCTGGGTTTTCCTTTGTCTGCACTCATACCTGTATGCAGTTTAGAACCTTTGTGTCTCTTGCACATGAATGTGGACTTTAACCACAGAGATTAGAAATTGTTTTTCTGAACACCCAGAAACAACAATAGGAGTGTTAGGTAACTTTAGGTTCAGGAATGAATGGCAACTATCCCAGGGGTGGGTTCTACTTACCTTTACTACTGGTTCACAATGGCATCGGGGTTGGTGGGTGGAGCCTCCCACCGGTGCGAACCGGGGGCAACCCACCACTGAACTATCCTCTTAAGATGATAACGCAGTACTGCCTACCTGAACATAAGGTAAATGACCTACAGTCTCTGGGGGTTGTATTTCTCATATCCAGAAACGCCTGATTGAAAAGGACACTGAAACTCTCTTGGCAAGTAGCAATACAGACTAACAATCCCTGTATGGCAGTAGATTGGACAGAAATCAGAATTGGCTGCCATTAAAGAAGAGATTGAAGTTGCAGTTCGGAATACTACAATACTGTATTTGGGAAGTGAATTTTGGTGCTTGCCAAGCTCAGTAGCTAGCATAATCGACCAGAAAAGCAAAATTGTTAGCCAAAGAAATCAGCTGCAAATATGTAGACTGGAAGGAGTCTTTCAAGCACTTAGAACATGTTATATGGAACAGAAAGTCCTTGATTTACAACAGTTTATTTAGTGACTATTTGAAGTTACAAAAGCACTGAAAAAGTAACTTATGACCATTTTTCACACTTATGTCCATCGCAGCATCCCCATGGTCACATGATCAAAATTCAGATGCTTGGCAACTGACTCGCATTTATGATGATTGCAGCATCCTGAGGTCATTTGATTACCTTTTACAGCCTTTTGACAAGCAAAGTCAATGGGAAGCCAGGTTCACTTAACAATCCACGTTATTAACTTAACAGCTGCAGTAATTCATTTCACAACAGTGGCAAGAAAAGTCATAAAATGAGGCAAAATTCACTTAACTGTCTTGCTTAGCAACAGAAATTTTGGGTTCAGTTATGGTTGTAAGTCAACTTATGACCACAACTGAGCTCAAAATGTCTGTACTATCTATACAGGAATACCTGTATTACTTTTTAAAGGCACTGCAAAGGTAGAATTAGGAGGCAATAATTCGGTGATATGTCAGTGACTATTTTTCAGTTTACGAAACACAGAAATGAAGATAATTTTCAAGGTGAAATAAACAATATTCTAGCCATGATAGTTCCTACTGATCTAAAACCAGTCTCACATTTAAATGTCAATGTCTTACTTTAAATTTCCATTTTTGAGATAGAACACAAATTAAACTAAGGCTAGATGAATGCTATGAAAAGAAAGCTAGGTTTGCTACACCACTGTCTAGACGGATACACCACTATCTTACTAGCAAATATAGGAACTAAACACTTTAGAAACAGTTTAGACCAGTCATTCGCAACCCTGTGTCCTCTCCATGTGCAATTGCGCAAAGAATGGGAAGACGGTAAACATTGTAATTCTCTGCCACAATAACTGATGCAGCCTTGGAATTATGTGAGTTGTGGTTCAACGTATCTGTAGGCAGCAAAGTTAGGAGGGAAAGAGCCCCTAGAATAGAAAACATCAAGTGAATCATGCCTCAAAAGAAAATAGAATCTGCCAGTGTATAGCATATCATAACAGTGTTGTACACTGCTCAAAAAAATAAAGGGAACACAAGCAGAAGACATCCGAGATCTGAATGAATGAAATAGCCTTATTAAATACTTTGTTCGTTACATACAGTAGTTTTGTGTTCTCTTTAGTTGTTTGAAAATGTATAAACTACTGTATGTAACGAACAAAGTATTTAATAAGGCTATTTCATTCATTCAGATCTCGGATGTCTTCTGCTTGTGTTCCCTTTATTTTTTTGAGCAGTATATGTGCAAAAGCTACGTTCAAAGTATTCAGTGCTGTTTTGTGCATCCCTTTGTCAATTATTATACTTATTTAATATACTGTCTGCCTTCCAGGACTACTTTTCTCATCTTCTCATCGTTTCCATCACCCATCTCCTCCCACTTATGGCTGTATGACTGAAACCTTGTTGCTGGTATCCTTACGATTTATATTGATATTGTTTCCTGATTGCTTATTTGTAACCTATGATCATCATTAAGTGTTGTACCTTATAATTCTTGATGAACGTATCTTTTATTTTATGTACACTGAGAGCATATGCACCAAGACAAATTCCTTGTGTGTCCAATCACACTTGGCCAATAAAAATTCTATTACTCTCTTCTCTTCTCTTCTCTTCTCTTCTCTTCTATTCTATTCTATTCTATTCTATTCTATTCTATTCTATTCTATTCTATGCCTGATTGAATAAAGATCATTTGCATATCCATTGGTCCTCAAAAAAAAAAAACAATTCACAAAACTGATGCTACTATTTTGATCCTTTACTCATATAATATGCAAGAGTGTAACACAAAATCATCTCAGAATTGTTAGTAGATATGTCTTAATTTCAGACAAATCTGTTATACCACTTCAGACGTTGCTCTACAGAAAAAGGGTTAATGTGCTTGTCATAAAATTGGTCACTGGGAAGCAAAACAAAGACTTAGAGCAGAGTATGAGCCACATAAACTAGCAATTATGTATATGACAGGGGGAATGGCCCAAATCAACTAGAACAGCTAAAGCTAAGACTCATGTAATCCACCTTCTGATTTAGGAGAAACCCATCTTTGAAAATACCCAATGCATTCATGTGGTTCAATGTTGCCTGTTTTCATCAATTTTTGGATAGAATAATTTTGAAATATATCCAAAATTAACAGAGAATAAGGATTTAGAAAAGGTGTGTCCAACCTTTTGGCTTGCCTGGGCTGCACTGAGTGAAGAGGAATGTCTTGGGCTGCATATAAAATAAATAATATAGTTAATGTCTATAAATAACAAACTTCCTTTATTTTCTTATATTTTATTACCAACTTGTGGGGCTGCATTGTGTAGGCTGCTTATATATACCAGTAGATACAAACATACAGAAGTGCATGTGTCACTTGTGTTTAGACCTCCACACATATCTAGTATGCATACTAGAATAATGTCACGTCAGATCTAAAATTGCATACTGGCCAGTGGTGAAATCCAATTTTTTTTATTACCAGTTCTGTGGGCGTGGTGTGGTGTGACTTGGTGGGCATGACAGGGGAAGGATACTACAAAATCTCCATTCCCATCCCACTCCAGGGGAAGGATACTGTAAAATCCCCATTCCCTCCCCCTCCTGTGGGTAGGATATTGAAAAATCTCTATTCCCATCACAATCTGGGGCCAGCCAGAGGTGGTATTTGCAGGTTCTCTAAACTACTCAAAATTTCCGCTACCAGTTCTCCAGAACCTGTCAGAACCTGCTAAATTTCACCCCTGATATTGGCAAGGAAGAGCTAACTCACTCCCTCTTTTAGTAGTCATTTCTTCTCTAAACTACAGTACTGATTGGCCATTATAGGCTGTTAAAATAAATGTTATCTCCATATAGCATAACACATAGCAGCCATGGTAAATTTTATCCTCCAACATAATTTTGTGATTCTTAGAAATCCTCCTGTGATATCCAAGAGGAAGAAGTTCATGAAGAACCGCAAAGAATGTTATGAGTGAGCCTAGATAACACTATCATCTCACCAGCTCTGAGCTGAACCTATCTGAAAGCAGCTAAACCTAATCGTCACTCAAATATTTGCAATTTCCATTATTGCTGCCACAAATTATGGGTATATGCTTGTTTTAGCAGGTGCCCAATATTTCAGATAATCCCAAGTAAAACACTAAGGTTATATCCCAATCTGTCATAAAGGCTTAGTACTACTTAAAATCCATTATTCAGTTTCCCCAAAGCTAAGATTGTTTAAAAAAAAAAAACCCTAGGCAATAGCTTTTATTGGATTAACTTCTGCTGATATAGGAGTGTGCAAACTTGATTTTCATAGACCTGTTTCACAAGTAAAGCTAACAAAGGAATACAAACATCAGTCTGTTTTTGGGTACTACAAATTAATCTATTTTTTTTAAAAAGACTCACATAGATTATTACTGATTTACAGTCAATTTATGGCCTTTGTCAGAAAGTTAAGGGGCAGTTGCTTTCCCTTTAGATCAGGAAAGAGTTTAGTTAATTATTAGAAAAACATCCTTTCTTAACCACAGGACATACAGACCAATCTACCTCTTACACATTCGTTGTGGCATGGGCATTATGAAATCATTGCTGGAGTTTTGTTTTCTGTTTGAGAAAGAAACCAAAGCCTATGAGTCTATCAGAGTTAATCAAGGACACCAGTTTACATGCCCAGCTGGGAAGCTTCTGCTGGATTCTTTGGTTGGCAGGATCCATGGAAAACTTAATTTTTGAGGAAGGGGAAGGAGCCTTTCCTTGTCCAACTTGCATTCCTCCCCCATGCATCTCACAATCAATTCTTCATACAATTCTGAAGTGGTCAATAAAACAATTTGGAACATGTAGTGGGAAAAGTGTTATGTGAAACAGATCATACTTCAATTTATATATATCCTGGGCCACAGGTTGAATTCAGTTCTTAAGTGAAGAGCCAATCATGTAATACTTTTTATTACTATTATTGTCAAACAGCACTTATCACCATTATCAACATCAGCCCTAATGCTTCAAAGAGTATCAGGTATCTGGGTTAGCTGCCATTTTGTTTTTCATAGGGCAGTAGTCCTTGTGACACAGTAACTGGGTCACAGTATGTATGGATTTATATAGCATAACAAATATTAGGTGCCTTGAAAACAACTAACATGTCAGTGCAGTATTACAACAAAATAATAAACAAAATTTTTTTTATCCAATATTTAACTTTTAACAACCCATGTCCCCAAACTTTAAATGCCAATTACTAAAAAGCCCTGGTTAGATTTCATCGGCTTATTATATCGATCTAATATCAGCTCCCAGAATTTCTTGACAACATGGTCATGTAGTCTCCACATTTCTGGACAGCAAGAGAATTTTCTTCACCCAAAATCACAAGGCTATAATGAGCAATCCAGTTGTCACAACTGAAAATACCTTTGCCTCGAAGTTAGCAGCTTTGCTTTATTCCATAGCAGCAATCAATACAGATTTTCTGAGGAAACCTTGGAGTTACTAGCTGAATGTTTTAGATAATTTAATGCCACCCCATTTGGATCTTTAAAACGTAAACCCTGGAAAGTAGGCCTACTCCAGGTAAAGACAAACTTTTAAAACAAAATTTCTGCATTTCTGAAGGCGGATTTTCAGCTTTCAGAAATGTTAATAGCACCGTAGAATACAGTGGGAAGAAAGAGAAAAGAATCTGAAATTTCTCCCTTGACTGATGAAAGAGGTTTAAAAACATGTTTTTGTACTTTATAAGCTAGAGCAGCAACTGGGCTGTGTCAAATTTCAATCTGTGCTCTATGGATTTCCAACAAGTAACAAACTTTAGAAAGCTCAGACTATCCAGCCAGTTGGAGAGAGCGGGAAAGAATTAAAGAAAACGAGGAAAAGAGAGAAGTTCAAGGATGAAGTTAACCCGATGATCATTTTTCCCAGGACTTGGAGGAATTCCTTCGTCATCTAATAGATTACCGCTCATTAAGTAGCAACCGTAACCTAGGGGCCAGACATTCATTTATCCGCAACATTACTCCCAACGCCACGTATCCAATGAACAGCTCTGAAACCCGGGTTGAAAGTAACTAAGTAGCGAAACGTGGAATCCCCGAGCAGATCAAGCATCAGAGATTTCCGCAGCGAATCCAACCAAAATAAACCCCGCGATTAATATATGACTCATACTTCTTGCAGCCCCACCCCTTTCCGGAGACGAAAGCCTAAGATTTTCCAAAAAGAACCGAGATTACGATGATCAAGCAAAATAACTTTCTGGTGGTGCGCTTGCGGTATCTCAAACGGAGCGAGCGCCGCCAACAATGTCCTACTCTTAAAAATACTGAGCCGGCTTCTTCCCCCTTGTCCCCCGATCCAACCACCCACGCTCCTCCGCAGCAGTAGCCGCCGGAGGAGGAGGAGGGAGAAGGCACAGGGGACGCCGGCCTCCCCAGATCCCCCACGGGGAGCCTCAGAGGACCTTGCCCGACCTGAGAAGAGGCGCCGGCCTCTCAGGGAAAGCCGTCGGAGCGCTGGGGCTTCTTTCACGATTCACTTTCCCAGGCGTCCACCGATTGCAAAGCCGGACGGAGCCGAGGAGAGGCTCTTTCCACAGTAAGGGAAAGCGGCCCCGGCTCTTCAGGAGATGCCCAGAGTTTTTTGTTTTTTTAAAAAAAGAGCAAGGGCAAACATGTGAACTGACTTCATAGGAGACGGCTCGGAAACAGTAGCGCACGTGTTGCTGAAGTACCTGGAAAAGAGAAGCAGCAACTCGTACGCCTCCTTCTCAAAGAGAAGCCGCATCTCCGCTTCTAAGCCCCGAGTGGTGAATTACGTGTGGGCTCGATCGCAAACCGGCTCGCGTTCTACCGCCTTTTAAATTACTAGACCTCAAGGCGCATGCGCCTTGTTGCCTTGTGAGTGACGTTGACCTGCCCAAATCTGGGGCCGAGGGAGCGTTCCTTGTCTGGAGACCGGGCGAAGTTACTTTCTCGTCTCCTCCCGCGGGCTGTAGTTCAAGGCTGCGGACCCGCCTAAGGTTCGGCTTTCGGGAATTACCTGATTACCCTTTTCATTTCAGTGTTGCAAAAAGCCAAAAACCACCCCCCCCCCCCCCGCTCCAGAAGTATGAGACTCTCTAAAATTATGACCAAAGTGTTATTGACTCCCTCAGACATTTGAGATGAACGGTGTTCTTTACGAATAAAACACCAACAGAGAAATACATGCTAAAAATTTTTATTTTTTAAAAGTTTAAAAGTTTATTTTGTATTTATTTATTATATATATATATATATATATGGGTGTGGCTAGCTGATGAGGACTAATAAGTCCGAAATAGATCTATCTTAGTCTCCTTAGTCTCCCAATGGGCAGCAGGGTGCTTGCTGGCTGCCTGAAAAAAGCCTAGAAACTAGTGATTGTGATTTCACTGAACTAGGGCTGCATAAAAATCTTGGTTTATGTAGGAAGTACCTGGCTAAAGAGAAATACATACATACATATATATACATATATAAAATATATATAATAAATATATAAATATTTATTTATATAAATAATATTATTTATTATTCCGTGTGTAAGTATACTCTCCCTTTCTTGTTTTACAAACTTTTGAGGCTGCT